ATGAGTTATCACGGCCGCAGGAGTATAATTAAGTTTTAAGTCGAACCAAGAAAAACACGATTAATATTATAGGAATGAAAATAAAAGTACAAAAGTAGATGCAAACATACGTATACATTTTAAAAATAATAATGATAGTACATATGTGTGTGGGTGTGTGTATTTTGTGGGTGTGGGTGTGGGTGCGCTGTCAAGTCGTCGAACATTCGTCATCAGGTTACTCGAGCCAAAGAGCTGCAACGGAGCGTAAATCATCTACTGAGTGCATACATAGCTGCCGCAGTGATGATATCCTTTCTCCAGCACATGCATATACTTCCTTATATGTATACTGAAAGCAACAAGTGACATCGTGTACACATTCAAATACAGTATATGTTTGTATGTGCATACCTTAGTGCTCTACCCAAGTTGCTTAAATGGGTGACAGTGCTTGTTGGACAACGAGTTCTAAATTCATTGCGAACAAAGTACATGTTCTGAGCAAAAAAATATCTAAAACAATTTTCTTTTGAAAAACAGTTGAATAATTCAAAATAACATACAATCCTAAGCCCTCAGCTATACTTTCAACCTTTCAGGTGCCTAAATGTGTGAAAAATAGGAAAGTGGTGAAAAAATTTGCTTCTAATACTTCGAAAACCTTAACTAGCACAAATGAAAGAAACTATGTTGAATTAAGAAAAACGTATTTTGCCACACCAAATGTGTTATGACGGGTGATCCAAGTATTCTCGGATGGTCCAAGCAGTGCTATTTTTTTTTTTTTTCTTGATTGGTAGTGTTTAGCATTTTTTCATTCAGCAGCCGTAGCTGATGGTGTACACGAAGACCGTGGAAAGTCAAGTCGTTCTTAGCAACTCGGACTGGCGTTTGGAACGACTTGGCGCATTTTACGTCAAGATCTTAATTTGAAAGCGAAGAAAATACAGTTTGTGCAAGACCAAGCGACAACGTTTCGCTTTATGGGCTCTTGAAAAGTTCCAAGTAGATCCAACCTATTCAAGCCAAATTTTGTTCAGCGATGAAACTCATTTCTTGAAGGCCTGAAGAGATTCAAAAGTTGCCATTTCATCCAGAAAAAAGCGGTTTGGTGTGGTTTGTGGGCCGATGAAATCATTTATTCAAAAATGATGCTGGTGACAATGTAACCGCTCATGGCAACCCTTATCGCGCCATGATAACCGACTATTTGATGCCTGAAATGGATGCTCGTGATCTCGGCGACATTTTGTTTCAACAAGACGGCTTCACTTCCCACACATCGCATCAATCAATGGCGCTATTGAGAGAGCACTTCGGTGTGTAGATAATTTTACGTTTTGGGTACGTCGATTGATCACCAAGGTCGTATGATATCACACCGTTAGAATTTTTCCTCATGGAGCAAAACATCACGCATGTCTTTCGCCAGCTACCAGTCGAACTGCTTGAACGAGTCATCGAAATTTGGACTAATAGATGGACCATTTGAGATGATTCAAAAAATATGTGCCAAAGAATGATATTAAAGATTTTTTCTTTAAAAATCTAGCGAATCTCGAAATGAGTCACCCTTTACTAACTTTGCATACAAAAAATTATAAATTATAAGGTATTGTTTCCAATTCTGAGTTCCATTCGATCCCTTGTGAAGGGGTTAAGAAATAATAGTCGCAAACCCAAGAAACTGAAAATAGCCGTTAACCTTGAAGCTGTAATTAATCTGTAGATTTTAGGAACTATCTTGAATCAAATTTGTGAATTTTAAAAACACGACGTTTCGTTTCTACTCCACCCATTGCCTTTAGTTATTAAAAAAAAATCGAAAATTTGTGTATTAAAAATATGTAGAAAGTGGTCGATGTTGAATTAAAATTTTTACAAAGCTCGATCACTGAAAATATACATTGGGTTATAGGTACACAAAACCTTCACAACTTCGATAAGTATTGGATGTTGTGCAGGATTCCAACTACGGCACAGAGTTAATGTCCAATCTTGTGTATATAACTTAAAACTATACCGATTTTTTTAAGTTGTTACAAGTGCCGTAAAAATATAATTATACTATTTGTAACGGATGATTCAAAAAATGTATGAACTCTTCGAAGTAGTTGGAACGAGAGACACATGAAATTAAGAGAGACGAGGTACGTCACTGTAAAGGGATGAGTATATTTTGAGACAAGGTGTATAATCTTAATAGCATTAGTACCCAAAAACAAAAATAAGAACAAGATTATGTTGTAACGGTGGATTCTATAACAGTAAAATATAAGTTAGATAAAGACTTCGACTAGACTCATAGCATGAGGCGAAGCATGAATTATAAGCACTGTTTTTCGTCTTTTCTGAACATAGAAAGATCTAGAAATTTACCTTAAGGACTAAATGACTACGGAGTACAAAATGAACTAGGCTGAGTTCGGGAAGAAGTCTCAAAACTGCATACATGGAAGTCGGAATGAGTTAAAAGTAACTGTAACTTAGTCAAATGGCAGCCAAGTGACGTACAGGAAAAGTAGAAACAATATTCCAAACTTAATTCCAGTAGTCAGGGCATTCGAACGCATTGTACATATGTTTGCATGCTAGCACATAAGTATTATCAACTGATTTATAGTGTCGCGAAGGCATTTTGCTGGTAAACAGGTTATATGGGTGCATCAGCATTGATCAAAAACACGACAGTCACTACAGTATATTATCCGCGCAGTCGTTCTAATCCCCCTTTCCCTAAGTAGATAGATGGTCGCTTTTTATTTAAAATGGCATTTGTGTTTTATAAAGCAGATTCCTATAGTAAAAGCATTTCTTTGTTTGCTCGACTATTTATTTGCGACACACAAACATACATGCATAGAGACATACACAGATGGCAGTATGTGAGTGCCCAGCGCTGGCGAGCATTTTTGTGATTTTTATTTATCTTTTGCACACCCACACACACGCAGGAATATTAATGAGTGCACCCTAGAAATGCATTCAAATGTTTTTCTGCACACCCTCCACCACTTTAAAACACATCCTCACAAATCCTCACGCACACACACGCAAACACGGTTAACTAACCATTTGTATGGTCACAACGGTTGTTTGGGTGTTACGACATGACATTGATGACCACAGCTTAATGCCAGCGAATGAGCTTGTGAATTCCTGTCCAGTGACCGCCTATTCTGTCGCCATAAGCTGCATTTAGCTGTATAAGTGTTAAGCATTTAGCTGGAATAGGAGTAGCAGACAGTTTGATGGCGGCGTTCATATATTAAGGACTAGTACAGCCAAACGCACATGTTTATATAGTATGTGTATAAGTAGTCAATTGAGCATATATAGCCGCAGACGCACCACTCGACAAAGAATTTGAGTATTTTATTAATCCAATGTGGTGGAAGTGGAGCAAGTGAAAACTTAAAACGGATAAACTAAGGGGAGTTGAGGATACTGGTAGGGGTCCGCCTAAACTGCTTATACCACATATACCCCTATATTTTATATTCTGGTTCTTACTTTCAGGCTGTTATACATAGTAAAAACTTTTTTCACACAATTGCTATAGAGAAACCCAAACCTGATTGCTTGTTTGCTAGAGTCAAGGTAACAGTCATATTTTAATTTCTCTATCGGTATCTAACCACTCTCTCAAATTTTCGCAGAAACAGTATTAAAATTATTTATATATAGACTCCCGCGAGTTGGCTTCTAGCTTCCTTCCGAATCTTCCACTCTTGAGGAGGTAAAGGAGATGTTTGCGAGACTACCTTTCTTTCTTTCTTACAGCTCGCAACTCATAAGCGAGATAACCGATGATCCATATCGACAAGCGTTAATTCTCCAGAACAAGCAGTCCTTCGGTCCTCTCAAGGACTCAAAGAGTGGCACCAGTTTTGCGTTCGAAAGGATGCTGCATAAGATCTTCCCTAACGATGCGTAGGTTGATGTAACGCAGCCTCCTTGAGCGACAGGAGAGAAGGAAACTGAAGACCAAATGAACTGTTGAAAATATTGATAGCGCTGAAACCGATTTTCTGTAGAAAAGCCTAGACGATGAAGATCTTACAATTTTTTTTGTCTCGAGGGACAGAGTAGTAGCAGAACTCCGAAGATTTAATGAAGTGTTCATACTGTTGCCATCGGCAGTAATCTATACCAAATTTCGTACCGATATCTTTCATGAAAGGTTTACCGCATAAGACCTTTATTTTGATCGGTAAGTTGTTCATATGGAAGCTGCAGGTATATGCTACTGTGGCTCGATATTAGCAAATAATCAGATTCATATGGAGAAAATGACGGGTGCAAAATTTCAGATCAATACCTCACATACTGTGGGATTAACTAGCGTATATACAGACAGACAAACAAGCATAGCTAAATCGACTCAGTTCTGACAGTGATCATTGTAACGGGTGATCCAAGTAGAGGTACTTTTTTCAATAATCTTTTTTTGACGGACCACGTGTGAGTCGCGTCAAGCTATCATGCTATTTTTATTCAGTATTGTTTGGCATTTCATCAAGGAAAGACTTCCACTTGAACAACGTTTACAAATCGTTCAACTTTATCACGAAAATTAACGTTCTTTAGCGACGGTATTTCGCGCGGTTCGCTCCACTTATGGTAAACAAAATCGGCTTACTGAACGTACTATCCGCAACACCATCAACCATCTTGAGAACCACCTTTTATTATTGGATAATATTTGCCCGAAGAGACCACGTCCAGCACGCAGTAAAGAAAATATAGCATCTGTAGCTGAGAGTGTTCACGAAGACAGTTGAGAGTCGACGCCGTTGGCAGCAACTCGGCCGATGAAGTATGGAACGACTTGGCGGATTTTACGTCGAGATCTTGCATTGAAAGCGTACACAGCTTATGCAAGATCCGATACCGCTCAACTTTTCCAAGTGACACCCCTCGTTCTATGCTTCATTTCTTTCTAATTAGTTTTGCATTTATGTTATTTATCCTAGATTATTTATCTATGTTTGCACTGTGTTCATGCATTTACTCACCTCAATGCGCCAGATTTCCACACCAGGCTTCTGACCTGCATTAACAAAAGCTTTGTTTATAACCGGCTCCATTGTTGTTGTTTGCTTCTCACTGCTGCAAAAACTTTTTGGCAAATCAACAGCTGTTGGCTGCTTTGTTGAGCTTATTTGTGTTTTTTTTTTTTTTTTTTCTATGCGCTCTAATAGCAGGCAATTGTCGAGGCTAAACCGAAACGCGCTGAACAAAGCTGGAAAAAGTTTTAAAAATATTAAGAAAAAATAAATAATTGATGAAAAATTAATGTGCGCTATTTACGCTTTAAATATTAAAGTTAATTATCGGAAAAATGTCGGAATTTCTATGTGCAAAAGCACAAGTTATATCGGTATGTACGTATGTATGTACTATGTGTGTATGATCATTAAATTTTGATTTAATTGCCTTTAAACAAATAAATGGCTCAGCGTCTGACCGGCACTTTTTATAGACACTTTAAATGAACGCGCCGACGACAACGACTGACAGCTGCCACTTTGAGCCAACTAACGTGTAGGTATGTATGTGCGTATGTGGGACTTTTCATGAAAGTGAAATTTTGACATTTATCGATTTTCCTCATGACATGAGAGATGCGCGCACACGCCTCGGTGAAATCATCAGCTGCCACCGCCTGAAGCTCATATATGTATGTATATATTTATGCACGAGTATGACGAGTATATAGTATTTACATATGGATCGGCATTTCGCATATTTTTTTTTTCTTTTTTCGTTATTTGTTTTCTGTTAAACAGTGCTAAATTGTGCCGCGAGGATTTTCGCATATCCGATGCCATTGTTCTGGTTGTTTGGGAAAATTTTGTTTTGTAGCAGACTGCAGATACATTGTGTGAATGTTGTGTGTGTGTATATTTCTTGTTATTTTAGTATCTGTTTCGCGATTTTATTTACTTTGTATAATTCTCAAATGGTTCTAAGTACAAATATCATCATACTTATAAGTAATTGTAGAACAATATCTGATAAATATTTATTTTATTTTGAGGTTATGATCGAAAAATAGATGTTTTATTCTAACCTAAAAATATAGCGTTATATATTTTCATCTAATAAGTTTTTTTTTCTGAAGAATATCAATAAAAGCTTTATTCAACTAGTCTTCAAATCGCTGAGAGCCGAGTGCTAAAGCACATGGAAATCCACCTTCAAGGCCCTCAGATATGGCAAGTAAAGAACTATCGACTTTCCAGTCAAACTAGCGACTTTCTGTGGAATTTCGAATACCAGTTACCTGTCTGAGGAACAACAAAACGGCGGGGGCCGATGGTTTGCCGACCGAGCAATTCAAATACGGCAACGAAAAACTGGTAAAGAGCATGCATCAACCTCTTTGTAAAATATGGTCGTCCGAAGGAAGCATGCACGACAATTGGAATGTAAGTGTGCCCTGCCCAATCCACAACCCACAATCTACGATAACTACGATGGGACGAACAAATTCCAAATTCTAGAAGTCACTCATTATCCCCATCCTTTTCTATGGTGCAGAGAGATGGACGGTGACAACATCTGATAAGTCGGCGTTACGAGTTACCGAGAGAAAGTTCTGCGGAACATTTATGGTCTTTTTCGCGAATATCACATTCGATGGAACGATGAGCTGTATGAGATATACGACAACATAGACATAGTTCAGTATTGAGTGTAGTACCCGCCAGGGGAGCAGAGGAAGACTTTCACTCCGTGGGAAAGACCAGGTAGGGAAGGACCTGGCTTCGCTTGAGATTTATAATTGGCGCCACATTGCAAAAAGAAAAAAGCGACTGGCGTGCTTTGTCAACTCGGTTCTAACGCGTAAGCATTTTCTACGCCGGTAAAGAGAAGATAAATATTTCTGTGTCTTTTATTTATATAAAGAATATCTTATATACTTGCACTACTATTTCCATTTTATTCAAATTTACTTCTCACAAGGAACTTAGAAAAAAAAATATAATTTTACAATTACTTTCTAAGGGTTCATATGGGGAAATCAATTCTTTGAATTTTAAAAGCAATTTTCTCATTTTATTGAACCAATATTTGAACACAATAAACAATTCAACATAATATACATACATTACGTGACTGTCAACGCGTGTCAAAATCTTCTCTTCAATATTTCTTTTGTATTCTAGGGTACGGTCCGTCTATACCACATGTTTTCAATACTGTACTTCAATTTCTTTCCTTTCTGAAGCTAAAAATAATATTCGTTATTTTTTCTAAATAACCTGACTTTTCCGAAGATCCCGCTTTTCCGACACACCGATAGAGTTCATATTTATATGCATACATATCTATGAACAGAATTATTTGTGCGTGGCCAGCATGTGTGCTGAAAATTTAATGAGCTGTTGGCTTGTGCCGCTCGCATAAACAAAATTCGCTGATTCACTGGGCAAAAGCTGGAAAACCTGGTGCTCAAAATAGATTTCAAATTTCTCGTGTTCATTGGTTTGTTTATTTATTTGTTTGAAACAAAAAAAGTATTTTTTGAGGCTTTTATTTAGTTGCGTTAAAACCTGTGCAGAAGCAGACAAAAACATACATTATATATATGAATTTATGGTATTTACTTATTTAACTAAGCTGCGTGGGAAAGCTTATTATGTGCATATGTTAATAAACAATTGTTAATTAAGCTAGAAAGGAAGCCAAACTGTAGATATTGAAGAAATTGTTTGGAGTCAATTGCCTTAGGGGAAAGCCTAACGAATAGCAGCGATTTTATTTTACAAGAAGTGACATGGCGCTTATGCATTAGGTTTTGGGAAATGTTGTAATTTTATTTTTTGTTTTTTTTTTTTTGTTTTTTTTTTTNTTTTTTTGAGAATAACATAATTTTAATTTTATTCGAAGCTATACTTTTATGAAAATACATATTACATTATGAAAATATTAGCCGTATGCGATTCGCAAATTCTTTGCTGCTATGATCTTCTCTTTCCTTTCCAAAAATGTACTACACAATGGACTTACTAGTGAACAACGTTTACAAATCGTTCAATTTTGTGTTTCGCTGAACTTATTGCCAACATAATTGGCCTACTGAGCGTACTCTTCGCCCATATCCAACTCAATGGATATGTAAACAAGCAAAATTGCCGATTTTGAGGCGAAGAGCAACCTGAAGCGACTCAAGATCTGCCATTTCATGTAGAAAAAACAACAGTCTGGTGATGTTTGAGGCCAACGCAATCATTGGTCCATATTTCTTCAAAAATGATGTCAGTGAGAACGTAACCGTCAATAGCGACTGTTTTTACTGTGGGGATATGTAAAGTCTAAAGTCTTTGCGCACAATTCCCCTTCGATCCAGGCTTTTGAGCAACACATGATGCATTTCGAACGAACATTGCCATTCTTTACTTGTTGGAAGTATGGATTTGACATAATTTTAAGTGGACACCTTTTTTCGTAGTTTCAAGCGAGTCCGAAAGTTTTCAAAATGAATAATTTTGCATCTGTATATTATTTTTATTTATTCATTAGATTTATAAGTTAAGCTTTAAGTTTTTTCAAATTAAATTAGTTTTTTTTTTACTTTTTAATTGATTTCAAACTACATAAACTAGTTGCTTAAGTTTCAATAATATTTTTTATTTATCAAAATTGCTGGACATTAATTATTAAATTTCAAAATCATTAATATCTGCTTGCTTATATTACTGTTGCCTGTTAATACAACTCAATGTTATTGAATTTTAAAATTTCCAGCATTTTCCAGAACTTACTTAGTTTAGTTTAAAAAAAGTGAACTGGCAACAAAAGCGCCTAAAATGGCCAATAAAATGAGTAGAAAACTAGTCAATGAATGAATTCAAATCCCAAAAAGGTATCAAAGCATGTCAGTTATACATACAAACATGTATAATGCAATTATAGAAACAACAAAATTGTCATTTTATATCATATATATTACAAAAATATTACATGCTACATAAGTAGCAGTACAAAAGTAAATATGACAACAGCAAAAAGAAGAAAAGCATTCAGTTAATCTAACGTCAATGACGCCGGGTCATATTGACCGAAAAATTGTATGATTCTATATTTTAGTTATTAATTATAAAAATTACTCTATTGAAGGTTTATTGACAGCACGGAGTCTAACGTTAAATCGAACCCTAAGTCTTCTTGGCACTTTGTAAAAGCTAGAAAGGCGTGTTCGGCCATTCCTTCTGTTTTACGCTGGGATGAAAAAACTCCTAGTGAAATTTTCAAATTTTTTGCTGTATTTTTCAAATCAAATTATGTACATGATGAGCTTGCAACTACTTCTAGCTTTTCTGCTAATAACTTTTCTTCTGTAAATTTGGTCACACTGTGTCTTTTGCAAAATGATATTGCAAAAGCCTGTTTCTGATTTAAAGCGTTCTTTCAAAATTGATCTTGATGGGATGTCGCCTGTACTTATACAAAATATTCCTGCCTTTGTTTATCCTCTTTTGCTTTTCTTCAATAAGTCTCTGTCATCTGGTAACTTTATTTCAGACTGGAATTTAGTATTCATTACCCCTATTCTTAAAGGTGGTAGAAAAGATGTATTCTCCAATTACTGGTATATTTCTAAACTCTCTACCATTTCAAAAATGTTGAAGTGCTCAGCGTCGCCTCAGATCTATTACATTTCCCAACTTTACTGTAAAAATTATAAAAGTAAATTTGCAAATTATGCCCCTCCCAGGCATGCTATGCGTGAGTTTAACTCGATTTCTGAGAAAGACAAAAAAAAAAAAAGGTCTCAAAATGAGGGATTTAGTTTTATGCTCAGTCGGACTTCTTCTATTTATTTTCTATTATAAATTGTTAGAACTCAGCAGTAAATTGTCATTCTTTTGCATGTGTTTATTTTCAAAAAGAATATTTTCAAATCCACTAGCTTATTTCGATAGGCATGAGGCTATACTAGTAAAAAACTGCGGGTAAACGAAGGCGAACAAATTCAACAATTTTATGAGCACTTAACAACTGCGGAAATGATTGTGGTCATAAAATTAGCACAAAATTTGAATATTCGAGTGCATTTTGGGGAACAACTAATCGTAACTAAACCATAAGCCGCAGACAATAAATATATATGCACACATGTATACCATTTGATAATTTACATTTTAGCTGAAATTTTCTTTTTTTTTTATTATTTTCAATATATCTTGATAATGTTTTAGTTACAAAAGTTAATACTTATCACTTTTAATCAAATGAGTAATTAAATAATTTCATAGATATAATTATATCTATGTATATATCTCTATATGAATAATAAGTGCGTGCACCTATGTTGATATTTGGCATTCGAGGGCGCATGCAGTGACGCAAAATATTATTCATCTATGCTATAAGTGAGTTATCGTCGATTGGTTTTATGGGTTGGAAAATATAAGGATTGACGCTCGGAACAAATAAAATTTGGTAATACTGTATGGGAGTTATAAAACCTTATAACTATATATATATAAAAATTAAATTTGTCAAATTAATAAAATTGTCTAGTAGTTTCTTCGTCATACAAGGTTTGGTTCCATTACAATTTCATTTTGAAATTGTGAGAAAAAAAAATTAATTAAGCACATTATATACAAATTTTAAAGAGCATCGTATCGGGATTCTCACAATTATCAAGCAGCTGAAACACCTTTATAAAAACATTCTAGTATTCTATGCTTCGAAGAAACAAATTGATATTTACTGGAATTCACAAGGAATGATCAACATTGACTACTTTCGGGAAGACTAAACGGTACAAGGTACATTCGACACCGAATTGCAGGATAAAAATCACATGTGGTGAACAAAGAAGTATTCACCAAAACAACCAGAAAACCTAATTAGACTGGTGATTGGGAACTACTGCATCAAGCAACGTATTCTTCAAACTTTGCATCTTCTTGGTTTCAAATTCGGAAAAAAGCAACACTTGCTTGGTTAGGCTTTTTAGAGTCGAAGAAGAAGGTTAGCGCCTGCACCGAATTTTATTTTGACAATTGCTAGAGAACGGGACTTTCAGATGGATTAAAACTGTATCGCTTTTAACCGACCATATTGAGAAATAAAAGATGATTTTCCAAAATTCTCGTTTTTATTTCGTAGGCTAAGTCTGATGAGCCCATAAAGAAATTACAGTCTGTATTTAATTTTTGATTGACTAAACTAGTTCATATCAAGCGAGGCAAGAAGACAGATATGATGGGTAGACATCTCATCTTCTTACGTTTTAACACTTTGATGACTCATTTTTTAAGCAAAGAAAATCGATTAGATTTTGCGTGCGGAATCAGATTTCTGGTGCTCAAAACGTTCACAATGCTGGAAAAGGGCTTCAGTGATAATTGTTTGTCACGAGATCAAAACATGAGATTTTTACAAATTATATAAAGAGGGTCGATAATGCGTTGACGACGAACCACGTCCAGAACGGCCATAAACATCAACTTATGATCAATATGTCAATAAAATAAAAGAGATGATGCTTGAGAATCGACAATTAACAGTCAGAGATCTTACTATCATTATTGGAATAGCAGAAGGTTCAATGAAAACCATTTTGAAAGATCATTTGGGCTTAAGTGAAAGCACGAATGCTTCCAAAATCACTGAACTTTTTTCGAAACAGCGTCGCGTTAACGTCTGTGAAAGAATGCTTTCCGACTACCAGGATGTCATGGAGCGTATTATTACTGGCGATGAGTCTTGGATCTATGCTTACGACCCGGAAACGGAGATCAATCGGCCGAATATCTTGGCAAAGGTTAGCCTAAGACGTAAAAAGCACGTCAAAGCAAGTCACAAATCAAAGTTATGTTGGCGGTTTTCTTCGATTGTCGAGGTGTGGTGCACTTCGAGCTCCTTCCAACCGGCCAAATTGGCAACTAATCATACTCGTTGAGTGTTATGCGTCGTGGTATGCGTTTTCGTAAAAACAGACCGAAATTATGGACCAATAACTCTTGGCTTTTGCAGCACGATAATGCACCGTCGCATACAGCATTGATTGTTCGCTATGCGCATTGGAGTCTATTCCATAAATTGACGTTAACAACTGTTTCGAGAATTTAATTAAAAACCGTTGGCACAATTGTATTGGGTCCAAGGAGGATTACTTTGATAAATTTGTTAGGCATCAGGGACACAGTGGAGCATCTCTTGTGCTCTTGTCCCGGATTGGCAAGACTCTGTAAGCATTTGAGGTCCGCACTTTATGATACATTGGAAGAGGTATCGATAGTGATGCCACAGAGTCTGTTGAAATTCGTGTTAAATACAGCCATCCGATACTCCTCATAGATCGCAAAGGACCAAAACTGGTCTAGTCATGGCTCGTTGGCCTACCAGTTTAACATAACCTAACTTTATATGCTACAGGTTTTTATTTTTTTTTTTCTCTTACTATTTGATAAGTGTATCTCGATGGTAAGTACTTACTTCACAAGTGCTTTGGGTTTTTATGAAAACATTTTTTCTGATAGAAATCTTCAAACATAACTCTTCCTAAGGTTTGTTAGCAGCTTTAAACTATTTTCAGATTTATTTTCAAAATTTTCGCTTCTCAGTAGTAATAAACTTGAGTAAATCATAAGCTCTAACAACGCGATATAAATTCAAGTGTCATTCATATATAAATGCTACAACAAATCGAAACATTGTGAGTCATGTGTGTTAATTAGTGACTGACTTTGAAAGCCTAAAACGGTTTAACACACAAACAGGCATACAAACAAGCAATAAATACGATTGTTTAAAGAGTAAACGGGACCTAATGACGTGCACGACGCGCTCAGCTGAAACACCGGCCTGAATTGCGCGAATTATTTGCTTCAACCTTAGTTGTTGTTTTGGCTTTTTTCAACAAAAATTGCGCGAGTATAACTTGTCAGACACTTTGTATTCCAGCGGCACATCGACACTTGAAAAATATTTCATTTTATCCGCAACTTGGTTGAAACTCCGTCAACGCGAATTGTAAATCTTATCTTTAAAACGTTTACAATTCGTTAAAATTTATGATATTTACCTTTGTAGAGCACGACTATGTTAGTGCTAATGTCGAGCACAAAGCTTATTTAAGTATTTTTTTGCTAGATCAATTAAATTTTTAACTTTAATATATTTTTGCAATTCAATTTATTTCAATATTTTTATTTTCTTTTTAAAAGTCACGCTTTTCACTATTCAATTTAGTAAAAAAAAAATATCAAGCGAAAAGAAGTTAGTCTACTCGCTGCGAAAGCGCACGGAAAACTGCCACAAATGCTGCTGATCGAGTTTCCAATTAGCTGTCGAAAGCGTCAAGCCTCAACAAATGCTCTCGCGCTCATGTAGAACAGATCATTTCAATTGTTGTTTTCTTTCCATGTTTTTTATGGCACGATATGCTTGTTGCTTTATTTACTTAAATTTGTATTTTGTTTACTTGTTGCTATTTTTCGGCGCTTGTTTTATCTTTTCGACTTTTTAATGGTTCTCTGCGATAAATTTCCGTTGCCTCTTTCCGAACGACACGCGCGATGAGTCAATTCTCCGGCGGCGCGAGCTGCTCAAATGCATCTGGCGATCACTCTCTGTTTGTTTCTTGAATCATTTACTTTTTCTTTTGCAAATTTACTAGCGATTAGACAGTGAATGGTTCTGAAGATTTCCTCTGTTCTTTATAATTGTTTGTAAATTTTTCCATTAGTCAGTTGAAGGAATTAGTAGCGTTGCTCAGAAGATCTCACAATGTCAATGACTGTGCGAAGGATCACTTGAATTTCACTAGAAATTGTGAAATAAATTTCTATAAACAATATAAAGTATATATGTATGTACATACTTAAGCATATATATATACTATATAGTACATGTATACAACAACAGCAACATAGCAACAATACAAAAGAGTAGAATGTTTAAAAAAATGGGTTTGATGTAAATCGATCAGCTATCATTTCAATTGCTTGTAAAAGGTCGCACCCTAACATATCTATGCCTGTGTCAAACCTTGTTATTGGTTTCAATAAAGGTAATCTTAACAAATACAAGGTAAAGTTATTTAATTTTTCTTTTGTGCGTAAATTGTTGGACGTAAATAGTGAACCAAGCCCTATGCTTGTAGAGCTTCAAATGAGTCCATCCTTAATTATGAAACATTATAATTTTTTTTTTTTCAGTAACTGAAAACATTATGACGCATTGTAATGCAAACATTTTCTTCCGACACCGCTTACGACGTTATGGTCGAATTTACGACAGCGCGCCAAACGTTCTTCAGATTCGCTGTTTGTCGCCAATTGGAGATTCCAAGTGTAGCCAGGTCCTTCTCCACCTGAACTTTCCAACGGAGTGGATTTCTTCCTCTTTCCCTGCTTCCCCGGCGGGTACTGCGTCGAATACTTTCAGAGCTTGAGCGTTTTCTTCCATTCGGGTGACATGAAATAGTCAACTTAGCCGCTGCTTCTTAATTCAATGAACTATGTCAATGTCGTCGTCGACATTCAACCTTGCCAATCTGCAAATATAATAATATTTAATAAAGCTATTAATACTGTTAGGAAGATAGAAATTATCTACGACATCGAAGTTATAACTTTTCAGCTCGATAGACTTGACCTAACCATACTTCAGTCCGTTTCATCCGCCCGAAAAATATTTTTTAGGTCTGCAAAGCAACCTTGATAACGTCTTCATTCGACTTTAAATTCCAACCGGGAGTTTGCAAACAAAAAGAAATCATTGAAAGCAAATCTGAGTAATATTGTGGATGGAGAAATTATTCTTGGCATAATTCGGGGCCAATTTTTTCTAAAAGTTAGAAATCGAATCGGCACAATAAACCAACAATGTAAAGTTCTGTGAGCGTATACCTCTTCCCCAGAATGATTGTAGTCATCGCCTTGCAGTGCAAGTTCCCTATAACGGTTGAAGTCCACTATGTGGTCTGTTCCTTGGACTCTAGTGTGTACCTGTGAATCCGGTTTTGGCCGTCGGTCACCAAACGGTGCAGAAACCCCTTCAGATTAGCCATGAGCAACTTCAAGCCCTGCTATGACAGTGATCACTGTTGCCTTGGTAGTCGGACGCAATCAAAGGGGGCATTTATCACGCCGACAGCTTACTTTTAATCCATATTACTCACGTGGTTCTTTGGAGTACTTATTGTTTTAGTTATCTCGTTTGCCTTCAATCAGCGATCTGTCAATACGAAATGTGGGCGTTTGTTATGTTATCCACCGTGGAAGCCTTCGAAGAGAAGAGTCAGCGTGTACAGCATCCAACCATTTCTGATTTCACTCTGTGATTTCCCTTCTAAATACAAAGAATCAAATCGGCTGTACTCCCGCCAACGAGAATCTACTAAGCGATGGTCACTTTCTTTAACGATAGTAGCGCCATCAGGCGTTGAAGTTAAGTTTTCATCGGCTCGATGCCAAAATAACTGAATCCTTTGCAAAACATGAGGTCGTGTAGAGTTCCTTAAAAAAGTCAATCATCGTAGCTGAGGGCTTTGCATTCCGATTTTTATCCGGCCAAACACTGTAAACTCGGAAGAATTTTGCCGCTACAACAACAACAACAACAAAATTGGCTGTTTAAAACTTAGCAATCCAAACGTAGTTAGATCTCCGAAAAAACAGCCCACGGAATATCATATCATGAAATCAGAGCTAATTCCGAGTACGATGGTACGAAATTAAACGTCTACTTATCCAGAATCCACACCGACATATCAAACATACATACAACCAGCATGCAAATAGTCGCCACATGACTCCAAGACATCTGACACCCCCCTACCTATGGACGGACCTCGTAAAATCAGCACATTTCCTGGAGCTACCGTTTAATGACCTCGATGACAACGTATCTAAACCTTACCACACTAACGGGGGCTACATAACCGTTAAAACAACAACGGACTTGGCCTTCTGTGGTTTTAGTACTAATTTCTAAAACACTACTTTCTAAACATAAAAATTCGCCTCGGAGAACGTGCCGTGAGTCAATTGAAGGCAATGAAAGTCATTCGTGGAAGGCCTTAGACCATCTTCAGCCGAGATTTATAACAAGTTTGTACTTGTATTCACTCAATTGATTTTTTCGAAGACGATGATAAAGATTTTTTATCAAAATACTTGAAAATATATTTAGTACATTTTTTCAAATCTGGTAGGATTTGATCACAATGTATTTATATTATTCAATTCAGAAATAGAAACTCCAGTTATGTCTCAGAAATTACATGTTCTCCGCAGAACCCTCATTAAAGCGGCAGTCTACAATTGATGTCTAAAAAACTTGCTAGTTTTAAGTTAACCGTTATAACAAGCCACATTTCAAACATCACATCAACAAAGCGCCAGTTGAACGTCCTTATAATCGCATCATTTGCACCAATTACTTACAACTCTCACACACATGGAACGCATCAGCAGCGATAAAGCAACGTTTGTATCATCCGCTCCGTTATGCAAGTGCTCGTTGCCGTAATTTCACCTAATATTCAATGGCATTTTAATCGTATTCCCCCAGTTGCATTAGCGCCTAATTTTAGGCTCTACCATTAGTGTACATTTCAGCATACACAGACGTAACTTTGATCGTGTATGCATGTATGTGTGTTTKTGATGGCACTGCGCTCACGAGCAGGCGGCGCTCTTCAGAAGTGAGAATAATAATTCAATTAATGAAATTGGTTGATAAATTTACGCTGGCGCTTAATGGCGTTGCAATGCAGCAAAGTGGCTGCCTATAATCAGTCCCGGCTGGTTGGAAGCAAGCATAATTTCATATTATATTATATATAGGTATGTAGGTACATATTTGGGCTGCAGTTTAGTCGAATGCGATTTTATCACAAAGTTATTGGCTTGTTTTTGCAAATACTTGTTAAGTTTGCCATTTTTGTTTATACTTGTGCTTAAGTATGTATGTATATGAACTCGCTACTGTTGTTGTTGTTGTTCTAGGAGCAGCAAAAAACATTCCTGCAGTTCGAGGCATAGTGCCGAGTTGACAGTCCCTGGTCGGTTAAAAATTCGGGTATGTTCCGGTTAGTTGGACCACACTGGCATGGGAACGGTGCTCATAGTATGTATGTATGTACATATATGTATGTATAAGTAGTCTTCTAACAGCTCTTATCGCCTAACTGTAATCTAATAATTTCAGAAAGTCAATAGATAGTCATATTCTTAAAGTAATATGCATAACACGTCATCATGACTTTTTCAACATATATGTAATATAAACAAAGGCGAAAAATATTCCACTGATCTGTTCAACCCTCTACGTCCAACCCCACCACAGTCGGGGTAAGTAACCGGCACATACCCGGATTTTTATCCGGTCATATGCTCGGAAGCATTAGTGTTATTTTTTCATCTACAACACCAACAACCACCTGATATTAAATATACAGAGCTCATACTATATCGTGGGATATTTATTTTGCTACAACATATGGAATTGCTTATACTACATATGTATGTATGTTTGCTTTACAGTATTACAGCATTATAATTTAAATATTATTTACAAAATATAAGGAAGAACAAAAATGAGTACATTTAAAAACCAGTAATTGCATTTCAAGTGATACGTGCGAATGTACGTAGGTGTGTATGTATGTACTATATGTAAATAATTTATTTTTAAGCAAAATTAAAATATCTTCTTCACAGTAGAACGTTTAGTCGAGCCTTCTACACAATCTTATGTAATTATTATTTTACTTAACGAAATGCCTTGCCAATACCACATGTAATATGTATATATATTTCAACCAGTCAAAGATACCATCAATAGTTGCAGATTTGCAAATATTATATAAACTTTCCTACAAATAATATATATGTATATATTTTTAAATCCTTTTCAATACGCTTTAAATAGACGGGGGAAAGCTGTTCAATAAAACAGTTTAGCAGCTATTTTAAGCTTTTAACACATTTATTCTTCATCATCGGTCAGCTCCAGAAATTGTGTACAAACATCGCGACTGCACTCGCCCTTATTGTTGAATATAAATTTATAATAATGACCATCGGCGCAAATAGCTGCAATTATTAAAATGACAAAAACAAAGATATATATAATAATTACAACACTAATAATTAATATTATTATGGCACGCACCTATAACAGAGTTAGGATCA